AAGTTCTTTATGCAGAGGGTGGTGGGTGCCTGGAACGCGTTGCCAGCGGAGGTGGTAGAGGCGGACAAGATAGCATCATTTAAGATGTATCTAGACAGATACATGAATGGGCAGGGAGCAGAGGGATACAGATCCTTGGAAAATAGGCGACAGGTTTAGATAGAGGATTTGGATCGACGCAGGCTTGGAGGGCCAAAGGGCCTGTTCCTGTGCTGTAATTTTCTTTGTTCTTTGTTCTTTGTATTTCAAATGCTGTTTATAGCGATGCTCCATTTCTCTTTAGCTTTTGGAAACATTTTATTATAATAAGTTATTATTTTAGCCTATAGAATAGTAGTTTAATTTGCTGTTGTGGACTCTAGACTGTGACATGGTGTTTAACATTTCAACTGTATATTCATAAGGTACTGTTCGGAATCCCAAGGAAGGAGAAGGAGTAAACAGAGATGAAGGCAGAGTATTTATATGATTGTGCTTATATATACCATAGCATTATGGGAACTCTTCCTGCGTCTTCACAGTTACAGACTGTGGGTTTTGGAGCGTCACTGGCTTATATTAAAACAGACAAGCTGGCTTGACAGGACCTAACAATAAATCTCAAGTTACCCTTTCCTAGTCCTGTCAAAACTTTAACTAACAGCAATTCCTCGTATCTAGTCTGCATTCCATTTATCAACTGCTCTCCCTATAAAACCTGCGTCTCATGATGCGGTGAATAATGATCTATAAACAGAAAACTTCAGTAAATAAGATTCCCAATATCCAATAAACCTAGCGGAGATCTGATTGTATGATTTATTTTAAGAATACATTTTGGAATAAATAAAGTCATTTGAGAATATTTAAGAAAAGTCCCATTGCCTAAGGTGAGACTTGACCCCATGATCCTTGAATTAGGAGTCCCCTTAAGACTGTGGTCAAGTGGCCATGGGCCCAAAATTGGATATTCTAAATTGACCCACAACAAAAATCGGACCTGACAGAAAATTGGCCAAAATAAATTAGACAGCAGCCGATAGCTATCAGCTATAGTGGAAACCAAGGTCAAAGAGGTCACAAAGGTTCAGGGGTAACCAGTATAACCAGCCCAAGGAATATTAATCAGACTCTCCAGAACCTTGACTTCCAGCCAGTGCCAGAGGACATGCACTTTACAACCTCCCAGCATGGCAGCAGTGAAGGGTGTTGACCCGACCCGATTGGATGCTTTGAACCCAGCCCATGACCACATTGTCCAAAGGCCACGGAATATTCAGGAAGGCCTACGAATGGTGGGGATAAAAACAGAAACCTGGAAACTACCCCTTCAGTGAAGACTTGCAATAAGTCTCATGGCAGAAGACCGAGCAGCAATCCAGGAGAAGATCTGCCCTGACCTGCGAGGTCCACCTTCGTGGAAAGAGCCAGCCACACATTAAAGAGGAAGGAGATTCCAACGGCCCATCTCAAACACCTGGATCGTTGTGGATAATATCCTTTCTTAAACAGAAAAAGCTAGATAGCGAGTAAATATTGTGGAAATTTGGGAAATGGTCACAGTGTTCTTAATATGGAATATTTTCTGAATAACATTGAGTTGAACCACAAATCCAATTCTGTGTCACTTTTGTCCACCTCACCAACAAGAGCACATGGGTAAAGTGTTTTTAACCCTTTTAATGATATATTGACTTGCTATTCTTCCTGCCAAACTGGAGAAGTTTCTATTTTCTCACATTACATTCCATATTACAATTGTTCATTTGCTCACTTAGCCCATTTATATCCCTTTGCAGAATCCTTATTTATTCGTATTCAGTCCCTCCATCCAAGTCATTGATATATCTATAAGTAGTTGAGGACCCTGAACTGAACTCTGTGACCCTCCAGTGTTTATGTCATGCCACATTGAAAATGAGACAATTATCCCTATTTTTGTTTCCTGTTGGTTAACCAATCAATCTAATATGTTTTCCCCTAACTACAAATGCTTATTTTGTGTAGTAACCTTTAATAATGAAGTACACCACATGTATATGTTCCCAATTATCTATGTTGATTGTTATTTTCTCAAAGAAATCTAATCATTTTAAAAATGATTTCATGTGATGTAGGTGTTGTTGGCATAGCCAGCACTTATTGCCCAGAGACCAGGTAACAGTTGACCACATTGCTCTGGCTCTGGGGTCATGTGTAGGTCAGACCAAGTGAGGATAGGAGATTTCTTTTCATGAAGGAAATTAGTGAATCAGGTGGATTGTCATGACAATAAGCAATCTTGCAGCCATATCTGAAGTACCGTGAGCAGTTTTGGTTTCCTTGTTTAAGAAAAGATATTATTTCATTGCAGGCAGTTCAGAGACGGCTCATTAGGATGATCCCAGATATGGAGAGGTTATCTTATAAACAAAGGTTAAACAGGTTGGGACTCTACTCATTGGAATTTAGAAGAATTAGAAGTGATTTCATTGAAAGGCATGGGATTTTTAAAAGGCTTGACAAGTTAAATGCTGAGAGGATGTTTCCCTTCATGAGAGAATGTAGGACCAGAGGACATAGTTTCAGAATAAAGACTGAGATGAGGAGGAATTTCTTTTCTCAGAGGGTTGAGAGTCTTTAGAATTCCTTGCTACAGAGACCTGTAGAGGAAGAGTCCTTGTGAATATTTAAGGCTGAGACAGATAGATTCTTGATCAGTAGGAGAAAGGGCAGAGAAGTGGATGTGAGGAACATCGGATCAGCCATGACCCTGTTAAATGCTCAAGGGGCTGAACATTATACTCCTGTTCCCATTTTTTATGGTCTCATGGGCACATGGTCACCATTAGACTAGCATTTTGAATTCCAGATTTTTATTGAATTTAATTTCCATCAGTTGCCATGGTGGGATTCAAGCCCATGTCTTCCGAACATTGGCCTGGTGTTCTAGATTATAAATCCAGTGATGTTACCACTACACCACATGATTTTTCTTTCACAAAAGAACACTGACTGTGCCTGATCATTTTGAGATTCTCTGAGTGCCCTCCTTTAACAATAGATTCCAACATTTTCCATTTGACAGATGTTAAGGTTAACTGGCCTATAGTTTCTTAAATTGCATCAGATCTACACTCTCCCCAGAATAACCAACAAATCAGTAATATGGGGAAAGTCAAAACTATTGTTAGTAACTTTCCTTACTGGAGACTGTACTTAATAATGAATAAGGGAGAAGAAAACCGTCCATTAAGGAAGTTACAATGTATTTTGATGAATGTCTTCCTTTAGATCTTACTCTTAATTCAACATATTGTACATGTCCAATCTATTGGTGCACCAGTTTCCGTGAGATATTTAGAGTTGAAAGAGTGATTTAGTACTTAGAGTCATAGAGATGTACAGCATGGAAACAGACCTTTGGTCCAACTCGTCCATGCCAACCAGGTATCCTAAATAAATCTAGTCCCATTTGCCAGCATTTGACCCATATCCCTTTAATTCCCTTTCTGTTCATATACCCATCCAAATGCCTTTTAAATGTTGTAATTGTACCAGCCTCCGCCACTTCCTCTGGCAGCTCATTCCATACATGCACCACCCCTGCATGAAAATGTTGCCCCTTAGGCACCTTTTAAAACTTTCCCCCCTCACCTTAAACCTATGCCCTCTAGTTTTGGACTCCCCCACCCCAGCGAAAAGACCTTGTCTATTCACCCTTTCTATGCTCCGTATGATTTTACAAACCTATAAGGTCACCCCTCAGCCTCTGATGCTGCTGTGAAAGTAGTCCCAGCCCTTCCTATAGCAGGGAGACCAGAATTGCAAACAGTATTCCATAAGTGGCTTAACCAATGTCCCGTCCAACCGCAGCATGACCTCCCAACCCCTATACTCGATGCACTGACCAATACAGGAAAACATACCAAATGCCTTCTTCACTATCCTGTCTACCTGGGACTCCACTTTCAAGGAACTGTTGAAGATTAATGATGCCCCTGCATAATTTAGACTTTAATGAGAAACTGGGAAAGAAATGATTTAATTTGTGTGAGAGGTTGGAGGCTAGGTATAACAGGTTTACATCATGAGTGTGTCTTGGGAAAAGGTGCTGCCCCATGAGTGAAAGATAATAAGAGCAAAGTGCTGTGTCCTGTGGAGCAGGGAAATCTCATGTCACTTGTCAGTCAGATATCCTAGCCTTTGAAGTGTCTATAAGCTGGAGGAAAAACCTGCAACCTCTGATGAGAGAAATTTTTATCCACTGTCTGTGGTATCTGTGTCTTTTCTCTTCTGAGTCCCCCTGCACCCATATGGTGAGTGAGTCAAGAAGCTTTAGAAAGATATTTCAGGCTCACAAGTGAAAAGCTGGAAAGAATGTAATACTGAAAAAGCCATTGTGTTTCATGTATAGATGCTTGACTTCCACCAGCAATGAACTTGTGTCTATTTATCACTCTCACTATACGGCTGGGAATAGACTACTGAAGAATTGGAATTACTAACTCCTGTTGCCTATCAATGGCAAATTCCTTCTAAGCTTTCCATTCCAATCCAGATTTTAGGGATTCTTTTCAGTAGTTAAGGTAAAAGACTGATTATTGATGCTAAATCTGGAAAGTTACTACAAGTAACAAAATGAAATGGCTGCCTATGTTTGATGTTGCAATGGTTCTCTGTAAACATGTGGAGAGTCTTATACCTTGCATTGTCATCCAATCAATCAGTTTAGCTGAGTGAATAGGGTGACAGTGAACTATGGAATTCTGTGATAAAAGGGTGAATGAAATGTATACAGTCTAGAAAACCCATGAAATAATTCCTCTGAATGAAAACAGATGAATAAAAACTAAAATCAAATTTCTATAAGATACCTGCTGCATCTGACACAATTTACAGTTATAAAGACAACCCAACTGTGCAGCAACAATGAAGCTTTATGAAGGCATTGAAAGTACAAAGTAGTTTTAAAAACATTCCCTGCTGAGGTGATATTTGGTAGCCATGACTAAACCAAGGCTATCTGTGTTTTATTACAGGATGTATAGTGTACCTTGGGATGATGTTGGGGGCCTTTTTCTGGGGTGGTCTAGCAGACAAGATTGGCCGACGCCAATCCCTCATCATTTGTATGTCCATCAATGGTTTCTTCGCCTTTCTTTCATCCTTCGTCCAGGGCTATGGGCTCTTCCTCTTCTGCCGATTCTTCGCTGGATTTGGGTAAGATCCAATATCATATTATCAGACCATGACAGAGCTTTTGAAGCATTAATTACAGATATTTTTAGATCAACCTGTTTTGACATGTAATGATACACCCCCGGAGCAGGTAGGACTTAGAACCTGGGCCTCCTGGGCTGGAGGTAGGTACACTTCCACTGCACTACAAGAGCACTGAGGATTTTACTGCGCAGAACTTCCATTGAAAAGATTATAATCAGTATCTTATTAAAGCCTTTATCTCATTATTACCTCATTTGGTTTCCAAATATCTTGCATATTATCATATTACTGTGTGTGTGTGTATGTATGTGTGTGTGTGTGTGGTCTATTTATTAATGAATGTAATGTTTATATGCCATTTCTGATTTTTGATAAGAGGAAAGGTAGAAAAAAGTTTTTAAAGCATTTATAAAACCATAAGATGTAGAAGCAGAATTAGGCCATTCAACCCTTCGATTCTGCTCTGTCATTCGATCGTGGCTGATATATTTCTCAACCCCATTCTACTATCTTCTGCCCATAACCCCTGACCACCTTACGATTCAAAAGCCTATCTATCTCTGTCTTAAATACACTGTGATGTAGCCTCCACAGCCTTCTGCAGCAATGAGTTCTGCAAACTCACCACCCTCTGGCTGAAGAAATTCCTCCTCATCTTAGTTCCAAAAGGCCATCCTTTCACATTGAGCTGTGCCCTCAGGTCCTAGTCTCTCCTATCGGTAGAGACATCTTCTTCACATCCACTCTATCCAGGCCTTCCAGTATTCTGTAAGTTTCAATCAGATGCCCCCTCATCCTTCTAAACTCCATTGAGTACAGACCCAGAGTCCTCAACTGCTCCTCATATGACAACCATTCATCTCCGGGATCATTCTTGTAAACTTCCTCTGGACCCCCTTCAATATCGACACATCTTTCCTGAGATATTGGGCCAAAATTACTTACAATATTCCAAATGCAATCTGACCAGGCCTTATACAGCCTCAACAGTACATCTCTGCTCATGTGTCCTAGTCCTCAGTATAATTAGGCAGAAAGTAGCCAACGAGAGTCATAGGGTCATACAGCATGGAAACAGATCCTTCAGTTGGGGGAGAAAGGAATAAAAAGTTATGTTGGTACAATTTGATAAATTGGAATGAATGTAGTCTGGGCAAGGGGAGGTAGTAGCAGAAGAATGGTCTACTCCTTTCCTGGAAATCCTATTTAATTCTATATAATTGCAATGACATTTCTGTGTATTAACTATAACATGCAGAAATTACTATCTGAGGAGTAGAGACAGAGGAGCGCATTGATATTTTGTACGTATATGTTGGGTGAAGTGTGTGATTGATTGTTTGTTTTATATGCATATCTGAAAGGAACAGAAGAAATAGGAGTTGGAGTATAAGCATGTCAAGCCATTAGTGTGACCGTTACTAATCCTATGCTTTAACTCCTCTTTCCCACTAGCTCCCATATCCTTTGATTCTGAGAGTAAAATTGTAGTTATGTTAGCCTTGAGTATACTCAACAGTAGAGCACCCTCAACCGCCTGGGGTAGACAATACCAAATTTCACAACCTTCTGAGTCAATAAATTTTGCCTCAGTCCTCAATGATTAATCTTTCATTCTGAGACTGTGCCCCTGAAACAAACTTTCAGTTTCAACCCTGTCAATCTCTGTTAGAGTCTTGTATAATTTAAGGAGATCACCTCTCAGCCTTCTAAATTGCAGAGCGTATAGGCCAATTTACTCCATAGCACTTCAGAGTTCAACACTTTTATCCCATGAATCAATCTAGCATACTATGGCTATTCCATTTACATTGCATGGATATGGAGATACTGATATGGATATACGGGCAGCATGGTGGCTCAATGGTTAGCACTGCTGCCTTACAGGGACCCCAGGTTCGATTACACACTTGGGCTACTGTCAGTGTGGAGCTTGGATGTTTTCCCTGTGTCTGCATGGATTTCCTCTGGGTGCTCCAATTTACTCCCACAGTCTGAAGATGTGCAGGTTAGATGGATTGGACATGCTAAATTGCCTGTAGTGTCCAGAGATGTGCAGGTTAGGTGGATTAGACATGGGAAATGCAGGGTTACAGGGATAGGGTAAGGGTGTGGGTCTGGGTGGGATGTTCTTCGGAGGATTGGTGTGCACTTGATGGGCTGAATGGCCTGCTTCCACACTGTATGGATTACATGATTCTATGCAAATTGTGCACAACACTTCAAGCAATATTGCACCAAATTACTACATAATTGTAGCAAGACTTCCATATCCTTACTGCCCAAACCCATACAATAAAGGACAACATGCCAATTGCCTTCCTAATTATTTGCTGTACCTGTGTGCTAACATGTGTCTCTAGTCTAAATGCACCTATGTTTCTCAGATGAGGCTGAGGCCTTATCCATGTGGAACTCCACTGCTTATAACCTGTCAACTATTCCTATTTGGGTAACAGCAGTTCAATAGCACCAGTCATTCTTCCAAGTCCTTCTGATCTCTGAACTTCATGTCCAAGTCCTTTCAGTTCTTTGCTGAAGACACAGAGAAGGGTTGACACATCAATTATCCAGCTTCTCAGTCACCCATCAAAGGCAATAACTTATTGCAAATAGTAGGAAAGCATAGCTGGTTATCTTTCAGTTCAGGATTACTTCATCACAGAAAGAAGATAAAAGAGAGATACTGTCTCCTGTAATCTAGAGACTTTCTGTGACTGTTTACACACGAACAGTCCACTGCCTGGCAGCCAATCAGAGAGCTGTCATCATGCTGATGACTCCAGGCCTACAAAACTGGTGCCAATTGAAAATCAAATGGACTGTCTCTCGGGGTGAACGCACATAGTACCTCTGAGCGTCAAGCATCTTTCCACACTCCTTGAATCAAGCAAAGTGCAGCATTTCCTTTCTCAGTCCCTGCTTTAAAGCATATCCTTGTCCCGTTTTGGTCCACTGTTGGAAATAAAAAAAGCAGATGTGATTTTGCACAGTATAAAATTTTCCAATCAGTGTTTGCTTTTTCACTAAATTCATGTAAAAATACTGAATTTAATTCACAGACTCACAGAATTGTCATGGCACAGAAAGAGGCCATTCAGCCCATCATGCCTGCACTGCTTTTATTACCTATTGTCAATTTCCTGCCTTTTCCTTGTATTCCTGCTCACCATTTCTTTCCAAATGATCTCCTCCTTTTACATTCTGTCTGAGTTTTCCAAATGCTGCGTATTGTAAAATACTTAATTCCCAACGTTGGCCACCTTGTAACCAGGGGCAAAATTTTCGAAACGAGGTGGGGAACCTGAAACAGAGATGAATCTGAGTACTGACCTTACACTTCAACTGCATTGCCCATGTGATGCAATTCTTGAATGTGCATGTGTCTAACGGGCAGGAAGCAAGTTCAGTGTCCAATTAGTGGTGCCAATTGCAGGAACTGCCGAGGTGGAGCCTGCGAGAAAGGCAGGTGGCAGCTATGTTGGGGCTGTTGCTGACTTGCTGAAGATAGCAGGCAACTCATCAAAAGCAAGGATATCAAAAGGAAGAACCATCCTTATGAAGGATAATTGATTTGGCATGAGAGTGATTCACACCAAACTAAGGTAATGCACATGTTCCAGTGCAGGTTACCTGACTGCCCAAGAACTTTAGATAACAAGGGGTAGAGATGGATGAACACAGCAGGCCCAGCAGCATCAGAGGAGCAGGAAGGCTGACGTTGTTTCGGGCCTAGACCCGTCTTCAGAAATGGGGGAGGGGAAGGGTGTTCTGAGATAAATAGGGAGAGAGGGAGAGGCAGATAGAAGATGGATAGAAGAGAAGATAGGTGGAGAGGAGACAGACAGGTCAAAGAGGCGGGGATGGAGCCAGTAAAGGTGAGTGTAGGTGGGGAGGTAGGGAGGAGATAGGTCAGTCCAGGGAGGACGGACTGGTCAAGGGGGCGGGATGAGGTTAGTAGGTAGGAGATGGGGGTGGGGCTTGAGGTGGGAGGAGGGGATAGGTGGGAGGAAGGACAGGTTAGGGAGGCGGGGACGAGCTGGGCTGGTTTTGGGATGCTGTACGGGGAGGGGAGATTTTGAAGCTTGTGAAGTCCACATTGATACCATTAGGCTGCAGGGTTCCCAAGCAGAAACTGAGCTGCTGTTCCTGCAACCTTTGGGTAGCATCGTTGTGGCACTGCAGGAGGCCCAGGATGGACATGTCGTCTGAGGAATGGGAGGGGGAGTTGAAATAGTTTGCGACTGGGAGGTGCAGTTGTTTATTGCGAACCAAGCGTAGGTGTTCTGCAGAGCGGTCCCCAAGCCTCAACTTGGTTTCCCCGATGTAGAGGAGGCCACAACGGGAACAGCGGATAC